TAGTAGATGATTAGTGTGTCACACTCAGTTTAAAACATTCATGCCCTGCAAAATTTGGGCTACATTTTTGAAATCCTGTTTTCGTGGGTTTCATGAGCTGGAAGCCCAAATTATATAAAAATAAACAAATAAATACTTGAAATCGTTTAAATTGCGAGCCCTGAATCTATCATCTATTAAAGATTAACTTTTTGAATGGAATTATGCAAGTTAAACAACTGTTCCATGATATTTTAAATTTTTGGAAAGGGTCTGTATTTATTTAAAATAAAAATCCCATGCCGATCATGTGGCTCATTCAACAATCAATTGTGAGTCATTTTCAATCTCACTTTGAAAAACTGCGAAAGAGCGAGTCTGCGAAAGTCGAACTACAAAGTAGTGAGGGACTACTGTATTCTTAAAATTAATCTAATTGTATTTCTAAAGTGTTTGTGAATATTTTAAATATGCTCACTCAATCTACAGAAAGGCTTACAAAATGAACTAACATAGTGTTTTTACTAACTTAAAATCTATTAAATACACAACAATGATTTACATGTTTTTAAACACGTCAGTCTCCTGCAATGTTAATCCACCTTACGCCTAGCCCCCATGGTGCCTTGCGTGGGCAGGACTTCAGGCGCGGATCGGAACCGGCATTTGTTTATGTGCGAAAAGTACAAGCTAATGTAGTTTCTCCAAGCATTTTGGATTTAATTTAAACATGTAGGAACTAGGGCATTAATAGAGTACTCGAGTAATCTACACATCGATTGCTAGGACATCTATCGAGGTTAAAAATGTTACGTCGAGTATCCGTAGTGACGTCATATTATGTGACCACCGTATGACCGTAGGGGGGCGGTGTTGCACTGTTGCAGGTCACAGAGTATGGTGTAACACCAGGTCCAATCCACCGAACCAGAACAAGTTTCGTTTTTGACGTGCTGCGTGTTTCTTCACGTTTGCAGTTTAATAATAATAACTAATAGTTTAGTTTTGCCTGTGTAGATGAACATATGCTATGATATATTCATAAATTAAACGGATTCTTTCATTTTTCTGGACTGAATAATGTCGTGCATTGAATTTAATAAAATGTATCGTGAGACGTTAATTTTCTTTGACCCATCAAATGAATGCGTCATTTATTTAACATCACACATTTACATTAATTTGGCAAAATATGAAAATAACAACAGGTTAATTTAGCAGGCTGTACAATTAGAAACCTTACGGCGATGGTTGAAAACCTTGTGTAGTGAACTAGGCCTGAGGTCAAATCCTGACCTTAAGGACCTTATGGGACAGAAACTGTCATTTCATTGATTTGAATCCAGAAATACAGGTTGACCCATCCTGAGACTTTCTTTCTTGAATTAATCAAGTGAAAGAACACTACTTTCTATTATCATTACTATTTTACAAATGTTTTGATAATCAAATTGTGTCAGTTCAAACCATTTTTGAATGTTGAAGTGAACTACTCATTCAAATCAACTGTGAAACAGTAATAACGATTTTTAATCCTCATTCAAAGTAGAAATCAGGTTAATGATGCATTGTCTGATTTTCTGTCTTCAATGAGCAAGTTGTGTAAGTTGGTCAAAGTTCAAGTTTCGGTCAACTGCAAGTTTACTGAAAAAGAAATGTCATGTTTAACTTTTACAGAAAGATACTAGAGAATTGACTCCACGAAGTCTGAGTTCTTCATAATATCTTCTGTCTGTTCTTAAACAATCTAATCTTTTTCCTTGACTTTTTAATAACACCTTACATCACAAAAACACACCTCTGTTGGTCCAACCGACCAATCAGAAAGTCCTCAAATGAACCGGAAGTGACCCTTTTTAAAAGGTGCAACACTTCCTAGTTCAAGGAGGTTCCAGCTCCAGTCGAGTTCTGGAGAGCTCAGTAGTTCTGAGAAGTTCTCGGCAGTTCTGGGAAGAACGCTGAGGAGAACGCTGAGAGAATGCTGTGAGTTGGTTCTCAGCAGTTCCAGAGTTCAGAAGGCTGGAATTCAGGATGCTGGAGGAAGAAAAACAAGCTGAATGAGAGAAGATCAGGGAATTATGAAATGTCTGTTCTGGATGATCTCACGACTCCTGAGGTTTAGCTGTTCTTACGGAGACGCTGGAAGAGTTGAAAGGAAAGCTCTACACCAACGCTGAAATTATCATCTGCAAAGGTAAAGAGTCGATCCCAACCAAAGTGTACCATGGGTCAAACTGGTCTAGAAGGAGCGTGCTGTTCTGGTATAACAGACAAATTCCCTCCCCATCTCTCTCAACTTAAACTTCATTTTCCATCTTTAAACTTTTCTATCTGCTAGCAAATTAATCCAGATATTTTTAGAAATGTCTGTGGTGAAGCAACGGAAAATCATGGCCGTATGGTTTTCCTGATTGTAAAGCTGATTAATTATGTTGTTATTTTCATGTTTGACAAATTAATGTAAATGTGTGATGTTAAATTTTGATTCTGAAAACAAATGACCACGTTCATTTTGATGGGTCAAAGATAATTGACGTCTCACGTTACATTTTTAATTGTTCAATGCACGATATTATCCAGTCCAGAAAAATGAAAGAATCCGTTTAATTTATGAATATATACAGCATATGTTCATCTACACTTGCTTCACAACAGACGTTTCTGACAATATCTGGAATGATTTCTAGCAGGATAGAAGAGTTTAAAGATGGAGATTGAAGTTTAGGGGGAGAGGAAAAGATGGATGAGGGAAATGTGTGTGTGTCGGCATCAGAACGGCACGCTCCTTCTGGACCCAGCTTAACCAAACGGTACACTTTGCGGTTGAAGATCGACTTTTTACCTTTCTGAAGATATTTCAGTTCCGGCGTAAAGTTCCACTTCAAGCCACTTTTCACGTCTCCGTAAGAATAGTCGGGAACCGTTCGGAGTCGTGACGGTATTCCGTCCGACACAGGTTCACCTCTCGGTGGACTCACATGAGTGGAGTCCGTCAGAAGTTCCACTCAGATGTGGAAGATTGCATAATTCCCACAAGACTCGAAGAGCTCTGGATCATGCCTGGACTTCTGTTCTCCCAGCACTGGAGCGGCAAACGACTGAAGCCGAAGCCTGAAGCGATTGAAGCTCTGCAAACTCTCCACCCGACTGGTTTGAACTAGGAAGTGCCGACATTTAAAGAGTTCTATTTCCGGTTCACTTGGGAGGTTCCTGATTGGTCGTTTCGACCAGACAGGGGTGTGTTTTTGTGACGTAAGAGGTCACTAGAAGTCAGAAAAACAGCAAGAATGTTATGGAACAGATTTAAAATGTTTTTCAGACAGACGAGAGGAATATTTAGGCGAGTTGGGGGAAAACAGGTGCCAGCCTCTATATTTACGTCTGAGAGGATTTAAAACATGACAGTTCGTTCCAACAACTTGTTTTGCGTTTGACTCCAACCTTGGACCAACTTACACTTGCTCATTCAGAGACAGAAAATCAGAAAATGCATAATTACTCTGTAACAGACCTTAACATGATTTCTACTTTGCATGAGGATTAAAAATCACTAATACTGTTTCACAGTTGATTAAAAATGATTAGTTCACTTCAACATTTAAAAATGGTTTGAACTAAACACACTTTGATTATCAAACATTTGTAAAATAGTAATGATAATAGAAAAAGAGAGTGTTCTTTCAATTGATCAGTGCAGGACACTTAGAAAGTCTTCTGGATGGACTTGATCTTGTGTTTCTGGACTCAAATCAATGAAATACAGTTCTTGTTCCAGGCAGGCCCTCAAGGCCAGATTCGACCTGAGGCCTAGTTCACTACACCTGTGACTTATTTGCAGTATGATAAATGGTAGGAGCACAATATACCTCCCAATGTTTTGTTGGTAGTTTTTTTTGTAAATAATTACCTTTTTTTGCTGTTTTGTTTATTTATTTATTTTTGTATCTTGAGATCTATGACATCATCAAATACTCGAGTTCTACTCGGGTTTTATTATGTTAATGTCGAGTTTAAAAATTATATACTCGTTCAACCCCTAGTAGGAACACCACCTGTCAGAGCTCAAACAGGACAAAATAATCATACCGCTGCCTACCGAGGAGAGGGCTGGGAGGACAACCTGAAGAAGTGGCTGCAGATTAGATCTTCTAACATATTTACGTAGCTACTTCACTGACTTTGTTCTTCCGATGGTGAAGCAATGAACAACCTGAAAAGCTCTGAGGTGTATTAGTATCTGCACAGTAATAAGGTCGGTCGCGTTTTGTTAAAAGAGGTGGGTCACAATTTATTTATCTTAAAGCAGAGATCGAGCCCAGCCAAAGCCTTAAAGTCCTCCATTACAGAGCTTGGGTTAATTGCAGAGAAAATTATAATACTGAAGACAAACTAATACTATAAAGCCCTGCCCTCCAAACACTTGAAATCATACCTGATATTCTCGTCACTGTTTTCAATCCTTCTGAGGATCCGGCGTCTCTTCTCCGGTGGTTTATTGTAGTCCAGACACAAAGTAGGATGCAGGTTTTCCTCCGTCAGCCCTTTGTCCACAAAGTGAAATGAGCTCACAGAGTTTTGGGTGGTCTCTTCAAGTTCACATTTTTCAAACACATTCTTCTTAATTCCTCATCTGTAGGTAGGTGATGGAAACTGTATTGCTTTTCACAGGAGCACTTTTTTTTGTTTTGGGTCCGTTGGGTCCAACAAACTGTTGTTGTAGCCACTGATTTAGTTTGGTCTCATTGTTCTGCAGCCATGAACACAACATGTACCTGAACTCAAACAAGGCTATTTTAGTAAACTTTATGGTTATTAAATAAATGTAAACAAAATAAAAACAGCATTTTATCTGCTAAACTGAATGCAGATTATATTTAAATAAACTGCGGTCTGTGCTCTGCTACCATGGTTAACCAATGCCCACTGCTACTTCCTGTGTCTGACAGGAAGTTGTACCCATAATCATTTATACCCCCCAGGAATAAGGTGGATAGCCAACGTTATATTCCACGATCTTGCAGGAGTCTTTGGAGATGCATCGGCCAGAGTTTATCTCACGATCCCAACAGAGGGTGAGGCATCTGGCTCTGCAGGTGGAGGAAAGGAGGCTTCAGGCTGTCTTCAACAGAGACAGAGACATGCTGTTCAACAAGCCACGGAGGCCACCCAGGCTGCCAAAATCTGCAGGTATTCAACACCAAAGAAGAAAAGACACTCACAGAATCATAGGTTTTAGTTCAGCATCACTTTAATGAACTGTGATCCCAGTTTCTCTCCACACAGCCACTTTTAGTGGACGTTGGTCCATATTCAGCTGCTGATGTTAGATTTTTTTTTAATTCTGTAAAGGCACCACTCTGCTGAAGAGGGCTGTTCCCAGGAAGGAGATGATCCAGAGGTCCAAACAGTAAGTCTTTATTATTTTCTTTACGGTCAAACTATTTCATTCAAGATTGATCTTATTATCCTAACATGACAGAAGCTCAACGTTTGTTCTTTGGTTGGCTTTCTGGTCTTGACCCTTTTCATATGTAATTAAAGTAATTGTGGAGGCATTGTGATTATATATTGAAACACATGCACACCAGTACCGACACATGAAATGATCACTTAATGTGACACCCTATAGATAACACTTTAAACACACAACAGTGACAATAGTTACTTGTGTTACATTGGAGCTCAAAGCCTGACTCAATTTGCATTTTTTAACAGTAATATTAGGTTTGCTTGTTTCAGAATATACGAGAGTCTACCAGAGGTGCAACAGAGGAGGGAGGAGGAGCGAAGGAAAGCAGAGTGTCAGTCTTACAGACTGAATGCCCGACTCTACAACAAGGTTCAAACTAACTTTTTTTTCTTTGCAAGACTTGACCATTAATATAAAAAAAAGTTATTTTTATAAAATGAGCCGTCAGAAGCTGAAATCCTCTTCTTGGGTTTTAGTTGGTTCATCACATAGATCAACTTCATTTATGGTTTTGTTTTGGATTAAGTTCTAACCAACGTGGTTTTGTGTTACAGAGAATCACAAACCGTGTCCTGGGCAGAAGAGCAGTTTGGCACTGAGCCAACATTTGGATTAGTCATGAAGACTTAATACAAAACTAACCAGCAGTTTGTTTGAAAGACATATTTTATTTATTTCCTCAGCAAATCAGCCATTTTTAAAATTATGATGAAAATAGAATTCTGCTTGCGTCACTTATGTTTTATAGTTTTTACTTGAAAGTTTGTGATAATATAAAAATAAATAACTTGTCTACAGTTGTTTTTTAAAAATATATATTTTGCCTAATCTGGTGATTTAAAGAGTATGAAAAGCAACAACAATGCATATGCTTTAATAGGTTTATTGATCAGTTATTGGTTGTGCAACAGCAGGAAGCCACACAGACTGCGGGATAAGTTGGACAAACTGCAGATTCAGCACATCACTGAGTGGATATAGAGGATAATTTTAAACTTATAAAAATGCACTATGCCCATAAAATGCATAAATAAAACAATTTAATGACCGTGGTGTGGTAAATATGAAAAAAAAAAAAAGTTTAGCACAGACATGACATTGACAAGTGACAATGCTTTCCCTTTAGGAAACCGAACACAACACAGAGATGCATGAAAACAACAACTTGAAGTTTGTTCAGTCCATTTGAAGCAAAATCCATTATGTTGGCCTGATTCTTGGAAAACTATTCATACCCCTTGAACTTTTCCATATTTTGTCACATTACAGCTACAAACCCAAGTATTTTACTGGGATTTTAGGCAGTGGACAAAAACAAAGTAGTGCATATACTGTAATTGTAAAATGGGAGGAAAATGTTAAATGTTATAAATCCTCTCCTCTGATACCTTTAAAATCCAGAGCTGCATTTAGAGCTCACCTAATTAATAACTAGTGTCCGCCGGTGGGTATTTTAAATCCAGCTGTTCTGTGAAGGCCTCAAAGATTTGTTACAGAACATAAGGGACCAAACAGTATCACGAAGACCAAGAAGCATGTAAGATAAATCAGAGTTAAAGTTGTTGAGAATTTTAAGGCAAGATTGGGTTATACAACAAAACAACCCACCTTTGAACATATCACTGTTTGATCCATCATCTGAAAAAGTAGAGTCCGGTACAACTACAGACTCTCCGAAACATGGTCGCTGTATCCTGATGCATGCTCAATAATCCAGGTAGAAAAATCTAAAAATGTTAAATCTGGTCCTCTGGACATTCAAAAATTAAATAAATAAAAATGTAGAAACGTTTCGTCTTTCATCCGAAAGACTTCCTCAGTCTGAGGTGCTGTATTCAGCTCAGTCTTATAAATAGCACCTTCTCAGAGTGGATTTACAGTTTTGCTGCTGACAACCAAAACCAGCTGCTCACTTGATCAAGGAGGACCATCAGCCTAATGATGGATCATTAGCACACTGATGGCTGTTACTGTTCACAGAGGGCTGAGTGATACTTGCAATAACAGCATTGTAAGAGGGGGACAGTTGGAACACGGAGGCCTCCACCCCTGTTTCCAAACAGGACTCCAGTCGGCCATCAGGTGAAAAGGAGGAACCCAGACCAGTGGTCATTCCATATGTTGAGGGAGTATCAGAGAAACTGAGACGTTTATTTTCTAAACACAACGTCCCAGTGGCTTTTAAACCCCAAAATACATTAAAGACTGGTTCATCCCAAAGATCCAGTCCCCCGGCACAAACAGAGTAATATTGTGTATGTTGTTCAGTGTCAGGAGGGTGATCAGTCTTACATGGGGGAAACTAAACAGCCACTGGCCAAAAGGATGGACCAGCACAGAAGATCAACATCATCAGGCCAGGACTCTGCGGTCTACACTCATCTCCAGGCCAGTGGTCACTCTTTCAGGGTTGAAGATGTTCACATCCTGGATAGAGAGGAACAATGGTTTGAGAGAGGTGTAATGGTAATGGTAATGTTCTAACAAGTGAGGAGAGTGTGATGGGAAGATGTAAGGAGTACTTTGAGGAGCTAATGAATGAAGAGAATGAAAAAGAAGAGTAGAGGTCATAGAAACTGTGGACCAGGAAATGGGAAAGATTAGTGAGGGTGAAGTCCAGAAAGCTCTGAAAAGAATGAAGAAGGGGAAGGCAGTAGGACCTGATGACATACCAGTGGAGGTTTGGAAATGTCTTGGAGAGATGGCAGTGAGGTTTTTGACTCAAATATTCAATGGCATATTTGAAGGTGATAAAATGCCTCAGGAATGGAGAAGAAGTGTGCTGGTGCCCATTTTTAAGAACAAGGGTGATTTACAGAGTTGTAGCAACTACAGGGGAATTAAGTTGATGAGCCACACGATGGAGATCTGGGAGAGAGTTGTAGAAGCAAGACTTAGACAAGAGGTGACTATTTGTGAGCAGCAGTATGGCTTCATGCCAAGAAAGAGCACCACAGATGCCATCTTTGCTTTGAGAATGCTGATGGAGAAGTACAGAGAGGGTCAGAAAGAACTCCATTGTGTCTTTGTGGATTTAAAAAAGCATATGACAGAGTGCCGAGGGAGGAGGTGTGGTATTGCATGAGGAAATCTGGAGTGGCAGAAAAGTATGTTAGACTGGTACAGGACATGTATGAGGACAACAGGACAGTGGTGAGATGTGCTGTAGGAGTGACAGATAGCTTCAAGGTGGAGGTGGGAGTGCATCAAGGATCAGCGCTGAGCCCCTTCTTGTTTGCTCTGGTAATGGACTGACTAACAGATGAGGTCAGGCAAGAATCCCCATGGACGATGATGTTTGCAGATGACATTGTGATCTGTGGTGAGAACAGGTAACATGTGGAAGAGAACTTGGAGACGTGGAGCTATGCACTTGAAAGAAGAGGAATGAAAGTCAGCTATAGTAAAACAGAGTACATGTGTGTAAATGAGAGGGAGGCTGGTAGAACAGTGAGGCTAAAAGGAGCAGAGGTCTCAAAGATGCAGCACTTCAAGTACTTGGGGTCCACTGTCCAGGAAAATGGGGAATGTGGTAAAGATGTGAAAATGAGAGTCCAGGCAGGATAGAGTGGATGGAGAAAAGTTTCAGGAGTGATTTGTGACAAAAGTGTGTCAGCAAAGGTCAAAGGAAAAGTTTACAAGACAGTGGTGAGACCAGCTATATTGTATGGTCTGGAGACAGTGGCATTGACAAAAAGACAGGAGAAAGAACTGGAAGTGGCAGAAATGAAGATGCTAAGGTTCTCAGGAGTGACGAGGATGGATAAGATTAGGAATGAGATCATCAGAGGTACAGCACAGGTTGAACAACTGGGAGATAAAGTTAGGGAGGCCAGACTGAGATGGTTTGGACATGTCAAGAGGAGGGACCATGGGTATATTGGTAGAAGGACGTTAGAAATGCAGCTGCCAGGAAAAAGACAAAGAGGAAGGCCAAAGAGGAGATATATGGATGCAGTTAGAGAGGACATGAAGTTAGTTGGAGTGAGGACAGAGGATGAGTGAGGTGGAGGAGGATGACTCGCTGTGGCGACCCCTGAAGAGGGATAAGCCGAAAGAAGAAGAAGAAGATGGTTTGAGAGAGGAGTAAAGGAGGCCATCTTTGTGAAAAAAAAATCGTCCATCATTAAACGGGTGGAGGCCTCCGGGTTCAACTGTCCTCTTACAATGCTGTTATTGCTAGTATTGCTAGACAGCACACTCTGAGGTCGGCAGACCAGATGCTTTTATTGGTTCCAGGCTCATTTTAAGCTCAGAGGTGACTGAACCTTCTCTGATGCAGGTCAAAAACTGTGGAATGAGTAGTTACCTCTGAATGTCAGGCAGGCTCCCTCACTCACTTAAATTTTCTTTATTGCTGCTATACATTTGGGCTTATAATCTCGTTCTATATGATGACACATTGGACAAGTCAAATAATGGTGGACAATCTAAGCTGTACATGTTTGGATATGGTCACGGCACGCTGTATTCAATTTAGTCATCTGCCTGGAAACAAACCAAACAGCACAAGATGAATGAGGTTGGAACCAAACAAAGTCAAAAACATGTAGCCTAAGTTTTATTAGTGCTTTTACTTTTAGCTGGGGACATACATCTCAACCCTGGCTCGATAACACATGACATCCAGGTGACAGGCTCTGTCCCTGTCTGTTTATTTGTGTTCCCCGCTCTGCTCTTTGTACTTTTGTTGTTCTGCTCTTTGTGTGATTTCTGTTCCTATATATCTGATTCTGTTGTTGTTTTCCACTCACTCCTCAGTCTGCCTCTCCAGTCCTCAGTCTTTATCATTCACACCTGTCCCTCATCAGCCACCTGCCCAGGTGCTCTCATTACTCCCTCTCCCTCTGTCTTATAAAAAGCCTTTCTCTCCTCCACTCCTCGTCCGGTCATTGTTCTGTATTCACAGACATCTCAGTCCTCCTCTGTCCTGTCTGTTTTTGTCCACCTGATGATCTGCTCCGCCTGTTTACTCTGATGTCCTGTTCAGTCTTGTTCTTGATCCTGTTTTGCCAGAGTACGTTTTGCTGCATCAACAGCGTTTTGTTTTGTTGTTTAAATAAATTATTTTTATTTAAACTCCTGCCTCGCTCGCCTGCCTGCAAATGGGTCTAAACTTTGGGGATTGTGACACCAGGTTAGCCCGGCAGAGCGTGTGGGATCTGCTGCAGGTGGAGACGTGGAGACATCAGCCCTGTGTACATCAGGACTGCAGGAGTCCACTTGGTACTCTAGTTTGCTGGTGCTGAGCTTGGAGTTACCAGAGCGAGGTGCGAACGCGGAAACATGACCCACGTCGCTACACTCTGGCGTCTATACAAAGCCCAACTTCAACCGTTGTGAGAGCTACGGGGAATCACTGCAGGGTGATTAATCAACGTCAAACCGCTACTGCTGCGAGACCTACGGGGGAGCGCCGTGGGGAGCTGAGGTGCGCACCCGAAGGAGTGAGCAAAGTTTCATATACACGCTCTGGTCCCGTGAGCTGGGTCAGGCTTAAACAAAAATAGCATTTTTTCTTCTAGACTGTTAATCATGCCAGAGTTGATCTGGGAACCTGCGAGTAAACCAAAAGGTGTGCTTGGAGGACATTTAAACATTTTTAGTCTGATCCCTAAAAAGGATCAGATTTCTGCTCTGCTTTCAGACTCAAACCTGGACTATCTCTGCTTAACGGAGACTTGGCTCCATGACAATATA